AGTGCATAAACTCGTAGACGCCTTGGGAATCAGTGAGAGTATTCAAGAAGCCGGTCTGTTGCTTTTGGTGACTGTCGATCTCTTGCAATCGTCTGAAGAGAGAAATAGCTAGAAAATGGATCATAAGCCTACTTTATGCTCACCACTTTTTTGGTTTCCCAACTTTTTTACTGCGTTCTTGCAACTGATTTTCCTTGGAGAAAAATTTCGGGCTCGGACAGGAGCTCATCGATATCAGAGCAACGACCGTATTACGAAGATGCCGCAAGAATACCATTGGGTTGAATAACAACTGTGGTTTCGACAGACATAAAATTCTTTCGCTTTATTCATACAACTTGCAAGTGGCGTTAGGCAGCTCCCTGGATCAAAACGCAATCATTAAGAGAAGAATAATATGTGAATCAGACATGCACAACAAAGGCTTTGAAAGAACATTCTGGCCATGCAAACCGCCTGTCCTTTTAAATAGACGTCTGGCACCGGATCGGCAGACAAACTTTAAGGTTATGCTAGCATTCTTTCTTCTTCTGTTCCTTATATGTCCATCTTCAATGTCGGAGACTTACAACGGAGGAGAATGAGCTCAACAGCAAGAAATGCGGCGTTCATTTTCTAGGTATTTACAATACCGCTCACATTTTTTGAAAATAGGCGCAAATGTATGGATGTAGCGACATGTATGGGCATGTCGCTACATGTATGGACTTGTCGCTACATGTATGGACATCACCGTCGCGTGGCTATATCTCGCTTCAGAGTGGACGAAATCTGAGTCTAAAACCACCATTCCATTCAGCTCGGCGCGGAGAATCTTCAGAAATATTGGAAGTGGAGGTACGATAGGCATACGGTAGAGAGTCACTTTACACTGATACGCCTGAAACTCTGCATAGAGGGCTTATTCGATGTGCTCACTACAAAAATAGAATTTATTTGCTGCAGTGGTGGTACACTGTAGAGTTACGGTAAGTGTACGGTGAGAGTCGATTTAAAACATGTATATGTTCGAAAATTTGCTCAGTGGGGCGATCAGATGCGCTGATTATAACAAATTGACCCATTCGGCAATGGAGGCGAGTGCGGTAGGTGTATGACAGTCTGCCAGTTTCAACGAATTTTTTCAAATTTCTGCCTGGGTTGGGTTGCACAGTGCGCTGATTACATGCATTTGCATGTTCGTGACTATTGGGAAATTCCAAACGAATCCCACGAAATAACCTTCTTAGTATACCTACCGTATTTCTGCCTATGTCGGTGTATATAATCAGCGCACAGTGCAACCCAACCCAGGCAGAAATTCGGAAAGATTCATTGAAACCGGCAGACTATGCACCTACCGTACTCGCCTCCATTGCCGAATGGGTCAGTTTATTATAATCATTGCATTTGATCGCCCCACTGAGCAAATTTTTGAACGTATACATGTGCAAGTCGACCACTTACTGTAACTCTACAATGTATCACCACTGCAACAAAAATATTATTTTTGTAATGAGCACATCGAATAAGCCCTCTATGCAGAGTTCCAGGCGTACCCATGTAAAGTGACTTTCTACCGTATACCTATCGTACCCCCGCGTAATATTCTTTTGGATTCAGAATTCGTCCACTCTGAAGCGAGATATGACCACGCGACGGTGATGTCCATACAATACCGCTCACATTTATTGAAAAATAGACGCGAATGTATGGACATGTATGGACATGTACGGACATGTCCATACATGTACGGACATGTCCATACATGTATGGACATGTCCGTACATGTCCGTACAAGTCCATACATGTATGGACATGTCCATACATCAGCGTCGCGTGGCCATATCTCGCTTCAGAGTGGACGAATTCTGAATCCAAAGCCACCGTTCGATTCAGCTCGGCACGAAGAATCTTCTGATATATTGGAAGTGGGGGTACGATGTCTTCGATATTCCGTTTTCAGTTTTTTCATTTTGTTCCGCGGAGATCCTTTCGCGAATATGTGAAGCAACGCCTACCCAACATAGAAGACTTTACTAAGTACTATTCGATAATACTGTTCTTGTAGAATATTGTGCACTAAAAAGTAGACTCAGACCTCTTTTTCAAAGGAGATAGAAGCGTTGGTGAATTTTGGAAAAATCATGGGTTTTCAAATTCTACTCGCCATAACTTCCTTCGGAACAGGTATATTTTTAATCCGAAAACAGCGCCTTGCTCAGCTCATCAAGGCGAATCTTTTCATGTACAGCATGTCCTTGATATCTCGATTTCAGCATTCTTAAATCTTTCTGAGGACGTCTTTTCGCGAAGGTGTAAAGCAGCGAGCATTGTTTCCTAGTACATTCCAGCAAGAATATTTCGATAGCACTTTTTCTGTAGATTATAATGTGCTAGATAGTAGCCGCAGGTTTCTTTTCAAAGGAAGTAGAACGGCGAGTGAATTGTGGAAAAATCTTGTCGTCCCAAATTCTACTCGCCATATCCGCAGGATACGAAGCTATCTTGCTAAGCAGATGTGAGTTTCGAAATCAGCAGGTCGCACAACCTCTACGAGCAAGTTTTCCGATACGTTCGGGTTATTCCATTTTCTCTCGTTTTACGCTCCGGAAGCTCGCCGATGGATTTTGGTCAAAATGTTGATGCTCTTGAATTGTAGGGAAACTTCGCTTATAGAGGTTTTCGAACACGCTCTTTACGAAAATCGTGGTCTTTGAGGATCACAGAGTCTTTTTGGAGAGATACGGTGAGGTTACTGTAACTGCAGCACGAAAGTGCGTAATTTTGGCCGCACTTCTCGCGTATCTGTCAGAAACCTTGCCTGCTTGCTTCTTTAAGTCAAAGTTAATAGGAATTGTGCTATCGAATGGTGCATTACTCAGGCTCCAGTCCGTGAAATTCGCCGAGTTACGAGCCTACGAAAACACGTTCTTTAAATTTTGCCCAAAATGTAAAGATCGCATATCTCGTCGAAATTCCTCCGTGAGCGCTTGTATGACGCTCGTTGCAAATATTATGTTCGCTTCGTCGAACGACTCCCCACTGTACTGAATATGGTGCTTGCGTCTGCTTCAATTGCTCAATTGAATATGTCCATTGAAAAGAGGAAGAAAAGCTGCGTCGGACAGTTCTTAAAGCGTTCCTCTACCTTCATTACACGTGTTTTTGTGATAGGTTGAAAAAACAGTAAGAACTTTCGGAACGACCTAATATTTACAAAAATAAGCAAGTCAATTGCACATTTTTATAACCTATGTAAGTAAATTTCAAAAATTTCACGACCCGTTCTCGAGGGGGGGGGGGAGGCTCTGGTATCATGTAGAATGTGACGTGTGCTGCAAGTCTGTGCAAACGGTTCAATTACTGATAAAGTAGTTGAAAAAATTTCAACTTTTTCCAAAACTGTTGAAAATCGAGATTTCACGGTTTTTTTTTTTGGCAAACGTGAAGCCGTACAAAACCTGAATCAAACACATCAAAAAGGAGTCATAGATAGGATGTAGGTAGAAGTTGACACATTCGAATCAGTAAAAAAGAAGTAAAATTCAAATACCAGCGAATATAAGGCGCCTATGAGAAGTAGGACAAGTCAAATGCATCAAGTTTTGAAGGCAATCTGTTAATAACTAAGCTGCGGAACCTCGTAATTCGCTAAAACTTTGCACAATAGAGCAATCCATTACTGTAAACACGAATATCATATTCATTTGTCGCTAAGATAACATCCATTTTTGGATCTTACGAAAGAGACCTTTTCATGCAAAAACGGGTCATATTTTTTGTGATCAGCATGTCGAACAACCCTCCACGCCAAGTTCCAGCAAAATTTGATGCAATCTAAAAAATTATCCGTTGTACCATAAACCTACCGTAACACTTACATAAGATGGCAAAATTTGGCAAAAATGTCTGCATTTGCAGTTTACATCATAATCTTTACATTGTCAGGAAATGAAGGCGCTACGTCCAAAAAAAGTCGTCTAGAAAGTTGCATTACTTGTGTGCCAACCTAATATTTCGGTGATAACACAGAACATATTAGTAGCTTCCAGGTTTCCTCTTTCGTAAACCTCGGCATTGTTAGTATATGTGTTAGTATGTTAGTAAGCCGACCGAGGTTAGTAGATGTTTATTGTTAGTGGCGGCCTGACGTTTCGACGTGTCCGTCTTCTTCAGAGGCCTAAAGTGGTAAGAGATTTAATTTTATGTCCTACCCCACCACAAACCCTCCTCCATATCCGACCAGCCTCGACTTTACCCCCCAAAGTGTTACAAGCAAAAATACGCAAGCACGTGAAAGACGAACCAACCTCCTCCGCCGCTGCCGCCCAGATGTTAGATGCGGCCGTCC